AGGGGTGACATTTTATAGATTAAGCTGTTTGAGACGGGGATTGCTTCTCACTGGCTACGTCTACACTGGCCCCTTTTCCGGAAGGGGCATGTAAATTTCACTAGTCGTCGTAGGGAAATCCGCGGGGGATTTAAATATCCCCCGCGGCATTTAAATAAAAATGTCCGCCGCTTTTTTCCGGCTTTTAAAAAAGCCGGAAAAGAGCGTCTAGACTGGCCCCGATCCTCTGGAAAAAGTGCCCTTTTCCGGAGGCTCTTATTCCTACTTTGAATAAGAAATAAGAGGAAGTAGGAATAAGAGCCTCTGGAAAAGGGCACTTTTTCCGGAGGATCGGGGCCAGTCTAGACGCTCTTTTCCGGCTTTTTTAAAAGCCGGAAAAAAGCGGCGGACATTTTTATTTAAATGCCGCGGGGGATATTTAAATCCCCCGCGGATTTCCCTACGACGACTAGTGAAATTTACATGCCCCTTCCGGAAAAGGGGCCAGTGTAGACGTAGCCACTCTGTTTGAAGAGTGCCATGCCTAATGGGCTCTCGACAGTGTTGTCAGCTAAAATGTACTGGATTTATACAGGTTGCACTGTGAAATCTTAGCTGTTTTGTACAAAATAGGATCTACCAACAGCAAAGATTATTTAGTGTGTATAATGGAATCTGTCATCTGCATGTAAAGAGATGACTAAGGAGGGTCCATGATAGAGTTTTATAAAAGCATGACTGGTGTGGAAAAAATGAATAAAGAACTGTTATTTTCTCTTTTCCATAACACAAGAACTAGGCGGTTGCCAAATGAAATTAATAGGTAACAGGTTTAAAACAAACCATGAAGTTTTTCTTCACTGTCAACCTGTGGAACTCCCTGCCTGAGGACGTTGCGAAGATCAGAACTTTAACAGGGTTCAGAAAAGAGCTAGATAAATTCATGGAGGTTAGGCCCATCAATGGCTATTAGCCAGGATGAGTAGGGATGGTGTCCCAAGCCTCTGTTTGTCAGAAGCTAGGAATGGGTGACAAGGGATGGGTTTATGAAGGGGATGGTTTGATGAGATAACATGATCTTGGTAACTAATTGACCTTTCACTATCAGTGGTAAATTGGCCAATGGAGGGATGATAGGAGTTACCCAGGAAAGGTTCTCTGGTGTCTGGCTGATGAGTCTTGCCCACATGTTCAGGGTTTAGCTGATCGCCATATTTGGGGTCGGGAAGGAATTTTCCTTCAGGGTACATTGGCAGAGGCCCTGGAGGTTTTTCACCTTCTTCTGTAGCATGGGACACGGATCACTTGCTGGAAGATTCTCTGCATCTTGGGGTCTTTAAACCATATCTGAGATATAGGTGAGCGGATTATTTCAGGAGTGGGTGGGTGAGATTGTGTAGCCTGCGTTGTGCAGGGGGTCAGACTAGATGATCATAATGGTCCCTTCTGACCTTAAAAGCCTATGGCTGCGTCTAGACTGGCATGATTTTGCGGAAATACTTTTAACAGAAAAGTTTTTCCGTTAAAAGTATTTCCACAAAAGCGCATCTAGATTGGTATGGATGCTTTTGCACAAAAAGTACTTTTGCACAAAAGCATCCGTGGCCAGTCTAGACGCGATTTTGCGCAACAAAGCCCCGATCGCCATTTTAGCCATCGGGGCTTTTTTGCTCAAAACAGTTCTTCCCTGTCTACACTGGCCCGCTTGCACAAGTATTCTTACACAAGAGGGCTTTTTCCCGAGCGGGAGCGGGAAAGTATTTGTGCAAAAAGCACTGATTTTGTACATTACAAAGTCAGCGCTCCTGCGCAAATTCAAGCGGCCAGTGTAGACAGCTTGCCAGTCTAGAGGCACCCTAGACAAAATCTTGCCAGTCTAGAGGCACCCTCCAAGTCTATGAGGGATAGATCACTGGTCTGTTCATTCCCTTTGGGGCACCTGGCATTGGCCACTGTCAGAAGACAGGACACTGGGCTAGATGGGCCTTTGGTCTAGGCGTTCTTATGTGCCACGGCTCTTACTTTTTATGCCATCTAAATTCAAGATTGCACAGGGTGGTGAGTGTGATAGGCAGGGGGCGGCCATCACTGCCTTCCACCTGGTTCATGGATGCACCGTCTCTTCCCCAAGACCCTAACCTCCTGCTGTAGCTGTGCTTCCTGGTGAGTTTTCCTCATTTACTCTATTGCTCCCTCCCCCCCATCCCTTCCTCAGTAAGTCCCCACCACTTGCTGTGTCCCTCTTCTCCGCCACATGCTCCATCCCCGCTGTGCCAGGGGTGAGGAGGGAAGTGGCAGGCAGCACGTGAGGAAGCGAGCAGTGGGGGGAGGAGTGAGAAGGATGTGGTGAGCAGCAGCAGCAGGAGTGAAGCACGGGGGCTCGGGGGGGGGGACCTGAGGTGGAGTGTGGACAGGGTCAGTAATGCTATGGTGAAGACTGGACACGGAGCTAGCCTCCCCCAGGGGAAGCGTCACCCACTGCCCATGCAAAATTATCTCACTTGCCATTGGAAGTGAGCATAACCCACAGTCTGGCCTGTGTTCCGCAGGTATGTCTATACATACTGCAAGTGACAGTGTGATTTGTAGCACTGGTAACCAAAGACAGTAAAGCACACATGGAGGCTGTGTCTCGACTGGTCAGTTTTTCCAGAAAATCAGCAGCTTTTCCGGAAAAACTTGCCAGTTGTCTACACTGGCCGCTTGAATTTCCGCAAAAGCACTGACTTCCTACTGTAAGAAATCAGTGCTTTTTGTGGAAATACTATGCTGCTCCCGTTCGAGCAAAAGTCCCTTTTGCGCAAAAAGGCCAGTGTAGACAGCTGAGATTAGTTTTGCGCAAAAAAGCCCCGATCACGAACATGGCGATCAGAGCTTTTTTGTGCAAAAGCGCGTCTAGATTGGCCTAAAAGTGCTTTTGCGGAAAAGCGTCCGTGCCAATCTAGATGCTCTGTTCCGAACATGCTTTTAACGGAAAACTTTTCCGTTAAAAGCATTTCCGGAAAATCATGACAGTCTAGACATGACAGTCTACCGTAGCCGGACAGTGGTGGCAAAGGCTTCATCACAGACTAGCCTAGCTGGGCAGCCTGGGTATGCATTCCGATTGCTAACTTGTGCCACTGTTACCTAAACTAGATTAAAACTAGCACAGGAATGACTAGCTGTTCTACAACTACATCTTCACTCGCATTGTTGACTTACCCCTCCAAAGAACAAGATAGAAACAGAGTACAGAGGAGCAAGATGGATAAAGAAGGAAGGGAAAAGATAAGGAAGAAAATTGGGAGAGAGAGAAAATAGGTTAATCTTAAACTCTCACAAACCAAAACAAAGGGGGGAGTCCTTATCCAAAGTCAAGATTTGACCCTGATTATATGTGAGGAATTTTGCTACAGTAAGGAACCCAGATACCATGGTGATGGGCAGCAACATAAAAGAGTGTAGATCACTAAGAAACCTCCCTCTCTAAGTCATCAGCAGCGCAAATCGCCCTGTCCTAGTCCCTGGGCGGGGGTTCCTATGCAGCCACATGCCCCTAGGGTTGGGTTGATCGCCGGCCCCAGGCTCTTCCTGTCTCCCCCCATTTCCCCCGCCATGGGGTAAGGACCCGACCCCTGTGCTCGCAGCGTGAAGTCCCAGACGCACGTGGTTCCCCCAGAGCCACGTGCTGCGCCCTTCCTTTTCCCCATCCCCTCCCCCATCCGAACCCCATCCGCGCGCAGCCGCCTATTGGCTATATTGCCCCTCCTCCCCCACGCGCAGGACCTCTCGCT